TGTGTGTGTGTGTGTGTGTGTGTGTGTGTGTGTGTGTGTGTTTTGCGTGTTCGTGTTTGTGTGTATGGCTGTGGTATGGATACGCTTCGATATCGTGGCTTGCACGTGTGTCTGTTTACACTTCTCTGTGTTGTTCGTGTCTACCTGCGCCAAAACCAGGGCAAAGAATGACCTGTGATTCACCCACACACAAACACCAGTTTAGCTTGGCAAGCAGCTATGCACTATGCAAGCCATGCAATCTATGCAACCTGCACTTGTTCATCTCCTTTTCGTTCTCCAGGGAACCTAGTAGCGTAACATTCATCAAGTCGCGGCCAACCGTATCCGGCCCAAGGCACATGCTTTTGCGTTCTTGCCCGCAGTTGGTGTCAGGATGTCGGCCCCCTTTTTTTCCCGGCTCAAACCAACACGTCCATTCTAACTTTGCACACCGGGCAAAAACATGGAGATCGTTGCTTCCCAAGTCTTGAGGCGACATCCCCTCCCCCACACCAAAAACAAAAACAGGCCAAGCCCGAGGAGAAAGCCGCCAAACAAACGCGAACTCTGGCCCAATCGTCCGCAAAGCCTCGGAAGAACTTCCCAATCTATCAAGGAAGGTTCAAAGGAAACATGCTCATCCACATTCCACCTTTTGCCTCAGTCGAGTCGGGTCTCTTCCCTTTTGAGCAGGTCTCTGGTTTCTCACAAGGAACTGGATTGGGGGGAAACTCACAAAATCAAGTGTTAATAAAGAAACAAACATGCTTCCTCCGAAATGGATGCGTGAGCCTCGGGAGAGCAACCTTGGTGAAGGCGTGATTCTCAGCTGCCCAGTTGGTGCCCTTCCTGGTTCCAAGCTGAGACAAATTCTGGCAAGACAAGCCCGATGTCCTGTGGTTGGCGGCGTGTTTGTCTTCTCGGGCGGCGGCCAGTCGGATGGCACGATGTCTTCCATGCGGCACAAAATCTGGCAAACGAGGCGGCTTGGCGCTGGGTGGCAATTCACTCTTTGGCTACTTCATTGGAGTCCAGGATAAATAAACCGGGGTTGATCAATGGTGGGATGGTTTCCTTTTACGAATGAGACTTTCACTTTAGGGAAGTTTCCCTCTGTTGATCCGCCAGGGTCAACATTCCCCTATGCCAACCCAAATCACTTGTGGTTCACGCACGGGCATACAGGGGTAGGGTCCATCCAGGGAAGCCAAAATCCATGGTTTATGCAGTTGCTAGGGGGATAGGCGACTTGGCTTCTTCGGCGGAGCCTTACATAAATACTTCTATGGACCCAAGACATTTATATGGCAGTGTCTGCACAGCGGTTCCCAGAACGCAGGATATTGCGGGTCCTGGGACCAGTTCACTCAGCATAGGCACAAATGCGTGCCATAGTGCAGTCCACGCAGTCTCCAGGGTGCATACACATTTGCCCTGTGGTTGGCGTTCTTGGTTGCTGCTGGCTGGCTGTTGGCTGTGAGGCCGCTCCCTCCCTAAAACAGCTACGGCGCTGCTTCATCATCCTTTGCATGCTGGCCTCGCCATCGGCCTGCCGAAAGCAGACGGCCTTTGACAGTTTTGGCCTACCGGCAAGGAGTTCGGGGCTCGGCCTGACTCGATCACCTCAATGCTCAGCAGCCAAGTCATGTGATGTGAAGGCCCTGTCCTCCTCGCAAAGCCTCTGAGAACCAGAGAGTGGTGGTGCCAAGTCCCCAAAGCATTTGTTCTTGTTGGTCAGGGCTCTCGCTTGGTTAGCTAGAAAAGGGAGTCGGGTCGTAGATTCCCTTGAAATGGGTATTGGCAACTGAGGGTGGGGGCCCCTGTGGGAAATGGAGAATCCATCCCATCTTAGCTTCCCCATAGTAAGAAATACAAGCGGCAGAGCAATTACTCAATTACTAACAGTTGATCGTATCCTCATGACCAAGTTTGGTTTTGAGTTATCCCAACCCCCCATTCTACTTGATTAGGCCTTTATAGCAACACGCTTTGGTAGCCAGGGCGTTAGCCATCCCTGCGACCCCCAAGTCTTGACTTGCGCAATCGTCATGGCTCCAACAAAGGGCCACCAACTCCCAGCTGCAACTAGTGGGATTCCGATCGGCAGAAGGGAAAACGTGGCCCATTAACAAAAGGGGAAACGGGGGCCGAGGAACAACCGGGGTGTGCGTGGAAACCGGCCACAGCAAAATTATACAGGAAACTTGCCCACAGGACCAAGAAACGAAAACGAAACGACTTATACTATAGTGGCCTTTACTAAAATGGTGGCAGCCACAAAAGGTTAAGGGGTTATCGGATCGGAGCCAAGATCGCTAGACCTGTTGGGTGGCTCGTCTTTTTTTTTAAGGAATCGGACCCAAACTGGTGGATGTCGTTTCGATGTCCCTTAACCCCACCAAAAAAGGGGTGCCCTCAAAAAACACAAACCCATTTGTGTCCAAAAGGTCTAAGGGGTGATTCGGCCACACTAAAAACACGCATTTTTTTAGGGCTCCATGTTAGTTTCTCGAGCAGATGTCAGCAAGCTCATTGTTGTGGAGATCAGTCTGGCCCCCTTACTTTAAACTTGGCCAGACTTCCCTCTGCAAAAGGTGACGTAACTGTTTGCTGGTTGAAAGAGAAAATGAAGGAAACTCAAAAGGGCCAAGGGGCCATCATGTCAGGCGCAAGTGTGGCAATGTAAAGGGGTCAACAACAGGCCCCTTCAACAAATCTACACACCAAACCCTTAAACATCACAACCAACCCCAGTAAACACCAACCCCCTTAAACACCAACCCCCTTAAGCACCAACCTCCTTAAATATCACACATATCTAAGGAAGGGGCCTTCATTCTGGGGCCCGATCCCCAGGTCCGGACACGAATTCGCCGAATTCGGCGCCTTGTTCTTGAGGAGCCACTTGTGGAGGTACTCCTGCGCTGAAACCGAAACCAAACGCCAAGAGGCAGACGAAGAAACCCTTCGCCATGCCGAGTCTTTCTCAGGGCTCGCGGTATTTCCGACCTGAAGACATCACCCCGGTGTGGTCTAAGACCACCCAAGAAGGGAAATGAACACCCCCTAGTAATAAACCCCTGTTTATTCATATGGGGCATGTCCCGGGTTCTTAATTGCTCACTCTTGGAGGGGAACACCCCCCATTCATAAACTGGGGTTGATTAATAGGGGGTCAACATTAAGTATAGGGAGCCCCCACACCCTCCGACAAATGAGCCCCTCAAAACTCATCCGGTGGCAGAAGGCCAAGCTTGAGAGTTGTCTAGGCTCCCCAAGCGAGGGGTCAAGGGGATCTTGATCCTTTCCAACCCCAAGTAAAGATCTGTGTGACCATGGCACCATCTCTAAACGCTCTAAAGTACTAAGGTTGATCCATCGTCGTTTCTCTTCACTCCAAGTTCTGTTCAGAAACCCGGTTTGTTTGGGAGTTAGCTCATTTCCTGAAGACCACCCCGTTTTTGGGGGAGGATACAGGTAGAGCTGGTTCAGTTGAGACCAAATGATGAGGCCCCAAACTTGCATGAGTCAAGCTTGGACCTCGGTCCGGGGTACACGCAACTCCCGGATCGATCCGGCGCTCCAAAATGGTGCAGTTAAAACGATCAACTTGTGCCAGTCTATGAATGTAAATGTTTGATGAATCATGTATGTATCAAAAGGGCGGTTTTTTGTTGCGCCTGTGTGGGTGTGTCTTAAAATTGGGGACCCTAACAATTGTGGTTTTCCCAGTGGTTTCCCTTTAAAGCAACCTAATAAGAGTACCCACAAAAAAGAAGACCCACTTGCGGTTGAGGATTTCCTCTACTAACTTCAGGTGCCCTAGTTTTGACTGCCGCAAATCGGAGTGTGCGTTGAAATTGGAGGACCCCGGCTATGGCGTTGTTGAAGCCAGAAGGAATCTCGCCAGCGCGCGAAACCTTTTGCCTCCGATCTGCGTCGGACCCTGAAGGCAGCGGTCGAAAAATAACGACCTAACTGGCCATGGGGCAAAAGCCCTCAAAACCCCAAGTGAACATCCTATTACGTAGTCTCACTTTTTGATGGGCCACAAAAAGCTCGCAAACTTTTTGCTTGCCACTAAAATGGTCTTCCCAGAAAGTGACTAAAGTCCATGGACTCAGGAAGTGAGTAGTTGCTTTCTCTTCCTTGTATCTTGTTGCAAGGCCCCGAAAGGCAGCTGAAGGAAGGTTTCAACTTGGAGGTGCCGGAGCATCAGGCCCATGGATCTTCGTTGCGGTGCGATCGTCTCTGCGGTTAGGTTCGCCGCTTGAGTTCTTGCCACCCCCCTCACAAGGTTAACCCCACACGGAGGCCTCAAAAGCAGGTTTAACCTGGGTTACCAACAACTTACTAATGGGTTTGCCGAACACCCAAGTAACCTTGGGTCTGATTGCGAATTTCAGGAACCTGTTTTGCTCGGACATCTCGGCTCCTTGCACACCGCCTCTGGATTCCACACATAGCGGATCTCGTCCCAGCCCTGGCCGGCCAGTAAATGTATCGAGAACTCGCACCAGGATCCCAGACGCGAACGAAAAGAGCTGCCCTCAAAGCTTCCCAGACATGGCAAGTGTCATTTTCCTTCCAAACGGCTGATTTCATCTTGGTTGACAAACCAAAAAGCCTCTGGTGATGGGGAATTTCGTCCTGGCCCACAAAGAACCGTCCTCAAAGAGGGACGTCAAGTTTGAGTTGACATGTCCAAGAAAAGGCCCCACTCTGGTGAAGAGACCTTTAGCCAAGCTCAGGGCCAGTCTTTCTGAGCCCGCTGCAAATGACTCCAAGTGGTACATGAATCAGCTTGCCACTGATTGGTGGTTTGGAGCCCGGTAGTTTCCCATCTACCCTCTACAAAAACCAGGGCTTCACATCTCCAGGCCACCAATCCTTTGTTCACTGGGCCCAAACCAGACTTTTGGAACAGTGATTCCACGGACAATAGGCAAGCGCAATCGTCCTTATTTTCCCGCGGCCAAATCAAAAAACCTCCTTGCCTGCATTCATATTCACCATGGTCAAATGCTTGCAAGGGACTTGCAGACCTTCTTGTGGCGCGCCTTCCAATCGTTCACCTGGCACGGCTCGCCGCAGTATCGCACAACCTTGCACCTGCTGCATTTCTGGAAATCGCATCCCTTGCGGGGAGCTGTTCCACAGAAAGCACATCGAAGTACAGTTGGAACATAGTAATGCGGAACTCCGCCATCAGGTCTAAACCTGCCCATGGCCGAGGCACCAGACTTGGCATCCTTTCCGTCCGGGCAAGGAATCTTGCTTCTGGAAGGCTGGGGCAAGAGGGCGAAATTCGCCTGGACCCCTCCAGCCGTAAAGGGAAAGCTCTTGACATCGACATATAGATCCATCTGGCTACCTTCACGCATGTTGCCAAGCTCGATCAAGTCCACCCCAAAGCAGTCCCTATAAGCAGAGTTGGTCTTAGATGACCACATGCCGCCAAGGTCCGCTGCGAACACCTCAAACCGCTGCACCCAGGCTACACCTTCATCAAGAGAGAGCGGATACTTGTCATCATGCTCCTCTATGTTCTGCCGAAGTGTGTATCCCCTGGGACCGTAGGATTGAAAGAGATGCACTCCTAATGGAGAAACCGTCATGACGCAAGAGTGGGCAAACGTACCAGGGCGGTCTCCAGGATTCCTCATGATTTCCACGTCGTTCACGTTAATATGCAGCGCTGTGCATGTGCCCTTCTCAACAGCAAGCTTTGCGTTCGCAAAGTCCTCGCTGAGCTTGTAGGGCCATCGAGTTGCAGAAAGGATATCATTGGGGGGGATGGTACACCCTCCCAAAGATCTGGCGATTGGCGTAATGGCCTTTCTTTTCGATTCAGCATCGAGGTCGGAGAGCAAATGCAGCACCGCACTTGCTGCAAACTTGCATCCGTGCCATGGGCAACAGCTGCTCACAGCCGAAAACGGGATGTAGTCTTCTGCAGGTCCTCCACTTAGAACCCCAAGTCTATCGCTGATTTTCACCAAGTGGTCAAGAGCACAGATGCGATGCTTGAAGTCACTCTCATCTTCTTGAAGCTCCGTCTTCAGCCGTTGCCAGAGAAGCCGTGCACCATCCTGGCCGTCGAGTTCCGGGACTGTGCCAGCAGCACCTGGAAAGAGCTCGGCCATGGCACGGAGCGCGATGTCTGTGAGACTGAGTTGTCCCTTGTCACACAGCGATTCGAATCGCTGCATCCATCACTTGAGCAGTGAAAGGCAAGGTAGCAACATGGAATAGCCAAACCCACTTGGTTGCAACGTGCCACCTTGAACTTGCTGTCCACTGATGCGTGTAACCCTTAGTTGGAGGCTTGGATTGGTGGAGAGGATCTGTTCTAGCAGACGGCAAATGAGAAGCCTCCGCCGGAACAGAAGGCGATCCACCAATTCGCCAAGGTCTTTAAAGGATATACATGTTTGCAACAGCAAAAGCCACCCAAATACCAGCTCTAGTTTGACACCACAGTGGTTATGTCGGAAAGGGGGCCAAAACAGGCACCCCAATCCCGGCGTGCCATGGCGCAGGGTGTCACAAGCCTAGCTGAGAGAGGTCAAACCAACCCGCCTCATCCGACTCGGGCAGACAGAACTTGGTGAAGTAGCCTGGAGGGGCTCCGAACCGAAAGGCGGCTTCCGATGGTGGGCGAGGCGGCTTGTGAATTCGGAGGATTTTTTGGCTTGGTTGCTGTTAAAGGGACACCAAAAGGCCATCGTTGCCATTGTTGGGGGGTGCCCCCACTTTACGACGAACCCATAATATATCTGTGTGTGTGTGTTGTGTTGTTTTTTTCTTGCGAGCGTACAACATATTGGGTGGGTTTTCGCTGTTGTTGTTTTTTAAAGGGGGTACCCCTCGTTTAAGACACAGCCATGTAGAGCAACATCCTAACAACATAGTGACGAAGAATTGCAGGGAGGGGTTTGTGTTCCTCTTGCAATATTTTGCGCATCCATAGTTGGGCTTCGAGAACCAAGAAAATCCCGCGGACCTGCCCCTTTGAGAACCAAAGAAAAAGGTTCAGGAGTCATATTTCATACAGGCCAAATCCGACACACCTGGCATCCGAGTCTACCATTTGCGCTGCCGGGGCGCAAAAAAGAGATATGTCTGGTAAGGGAGGCAAGTGGTTCAATAGTACACAACCCCATTCTAACTATTTAGGCAACTACAGTACCAGCTGTTTTGTGCTAATTAATCAAACATCACCAGCCTGACTGAAGGAATCCCTAAGATTCTTTGAGGGATCTTCATCATGGAGTTCGCTTCACCCCAGGTAAAGGGTCGTGTGGCTTTGTCCGTACGGCCAAAGGAATAAACCATGTCCGTCTTTCCCGCGGAAACCCGAAGAAGCTCCTTACAGAATTTGGGAGAGTCTTTTTAGGGACCCGTTTTTTCCAAATGGCGGTTTTCCGAGCACCCTCAAAAACGACGAGCCGCCCATTTGGCAAACATGGATGTGTCCAGTCCAGATTGTGGACCGGAGTGAGTCTCAAAACGGGCCCCCTGCATGTCACTAAAACAAACTGCCGCCATCCATGTCCTGGTGGTGTACCTCTTCGCAATTCAACCATATCTCGGGGGTGGCCCCGGACCACTAACAGTGAGCACAAATAGGAGCACAAAAAAAGCACCACAAAAAACAAGCAACTTTGCTCTTTTTTAAAATTAGGTACCCGTGCAGGTCTGAAACCTAAATTACTCGTTCTGCATCTTGGGGGATAGCTCCGGGGACCTTGAAATAAAGTGATTCAAAGACTATTTGCACTATGACTTATTAGCCCAGATACAATGCGAAAGTTAAATAGGCACACGCAACACGACGGCTAGCGTGGCTGTTGCAACATTACCTTTCCGTCCTTCCTTTCTGTTTGGCTTGGTCGCTGCTGCTTCCCACAACACCCCCTCCCAGTCAACCTCCCCCCAGCGTAAGCCAGAGCCTTCCGATTCACAGCCCCTCCCGGCCTTCTCTCAGCCTCCGCTCCCAACCTCCTCCCTGCCAACCAAGCTGCCCTCACCCATCCAGCCCTCCCTCCCCCCAAACCTCCTTCTTACCTGCGGCCCTCACCCAAACCCCCCACCTCTCACGCAAACATCCAGCCCACAGCAACCCCCTCCCCTCCGTCTGCCCTTCTCACCAACCTTCTGTCTGTGCTTTCTTCCTTCCTTTTTCGTTCCAAGGGAGCACTAACGGTTTTTTTTTGAGGGGGAGCACTAACGCACTAACGCATTTTTTATTTTTTAAGGTGTCCCGGGGGGGGGGGGTCCTGGGGCAAGTAATTTGAATTTCGCGGTCTGAAGGGAAAGAAATTTTGAAAAACCGGCCCGCCGGCCAAGTTTTGCGGTGCTTTTTTTGTGCTCCACTTGGAGTTTTGCGGTGGTCCTTTGTGCTTTTTCTTGTGGGTTCCGTGGTGCTTTTTTTTGTGCTCCCGCTGGTGGTTTCCCGTGATGAAAAGTAGTAGCGGAGTCCGGGCGGGTGGTAATTGGGGTTTTGTGGTGGTCCCTTGTGCTTTTTCTTGTGGGTTCCGTGGTGCTTTTTCCTCAAACAGTGTGTCTACACTAAGGGGTTCTTACGGTAAGAGAAAAGGCCTTGGTGCCAGATTGAGGTGCCCGCTCTGTCCGCCAGCGTTTTGCGTGGTATTTACCGCAGATTCGTGCTCTTGCTTGATGTCGAAGTGCGTTTCGACTGCGCAGGCTCGCACAAAGCGAGGTGTCGACTTCTGTCCGCGAGCGTTTTGCGTGGTATGTACCGGAGATTCGTGCTCTTGCTTGATGTCGAAGTGCGTTTCGACTGCGCAGGCTCGCACAAGGTGAGGTGTCGACTTCTGTCCGCGAGCGTTTTGCGTGGTATGTACCGGAGATTCGTGCTCTTGCTTGATGTCGCAGGCTCGCACAAAGTGAGGTGTCGACTTCTGTCCGCGAGCGTTTCGCGTGGTATGTACCGGAGATTCGTGCTCTTGCTTGATGTTGAAATGCGTTTCGACTGCGCAGGCTCGCAGAAAGTGAGGTGTCGATTTGTGTCCGCGAGCGTTTCGCGTGGTATGTGCCGCAGATTCTTGCTTGTCCCTGCGCTTCAAAAGGCCTGTCTAAAGGAGGCCTCTGGAAAGAGGCCTTGATTTGTCAAGAGGCCTTGTTTTGTAAACCCGGAAGTATCCATGGTAAGTACCCACGCCTTTTCAAGGCCTTTGGCCCCTTATTCCTGGCCCAAAAAACATGGTTTTACATTGGCTGCATATGGTGCGTCACCCACGATATCGCCACATGTTGTCCTTTGTGCTCTCAACCTCTGACATCTTTACCTCGCATTGCTTTGCTCCAAGGCAGTTGTTTACACGGACGAACTCCAGTGGAGTTACGATTCCATGCTTTCCTTTGGAGGCGTCGGCACAGTTTCGGCGACCCTGCATTTTTCGTGGAACAAACGCCACACTCTTGCACGAAGGCTGCAAAAGGTTGGGTTCTGGCAGTAGCGTCATGTGGTCCTGCTGGGTTTTTCTGTGCTGTCCTCGCTTTTTGGCATTGCGTCCACGCCTTTTTGAGGCCTTTCCACGCCTTTTTGAGGCCTTTCCACGCCTTTTTGAGGCCTTTCCACGGGTTGTCCACGCTTTGTCCACGGTCCAGCTGGTGTTCTGAGTCACTTCGCAGTTTCTGGCAAATATATTTACTCGAACGGATTTGGCGTTTTGTTGAATGCGTGTAACATGCATTTGCGCATGCCTCAGCTGAAGGGTCTCGAGGAGTAGCCAAAGCCAAAAACTCTCCTTTGCAGAATCATAGCTGCAGCCTTCCTACCATCTTGTTTGGGACTCTCTTTAGTTTGAAGCCCCCCTTCGTAGATATCAGCTTGAGAAATTGGAGCCAAACTATCAACAAAATCTGCAAATTGTTGCCTGTGTCAGCAAAACGCTGTGCCGCCACCCCCAACTTTTCAAGGAAGCCCCGGGATTGGCTTGATGTTGAAGTGCGTTTCGATTGCGCAGGCTCGCACAAACTCGATTTTTTGCTTTTTTGGCGCCTCCAGGGACCGTTTTGTCTCGTGGTCCGGCGGCACGGGTTTCCGGCGAAAGGTCCCGGGCTCGATTCCCGCCCTGTCCGCGCGAGCTTGTTTCCCTTTCTTCGGGCATGCTTGGATGGTGCTTCTGTGCTGCGACGGCTTCTCGATGGTAACAACAACCAAACAGCAACAGCAACAGCAACAGCAACAGCGCCACATTCATAGAAAGAAAGAAATACAGAGACGAAACAACGAGAACCAAGGAAGAAGCTACCTAGCTAGCGAACTCACGAACTCAGGCACCCTGTTGAAACAAACGCACAGATCTTGCCTTTTGTAGTGATGCTTGCGCAGCCATGGGCGCAATAATCTTGGCGACGCTGCTGGAAGCCGCGCCTGCCGATGTGCGCGTGGAATTCGAGCATCTCGGGTCATATGTCTTGGGAGACCTTGCGGCTGCGCAGGCGGGTGCTTTGTTGGAAGGTTTATCTTCGGATCGACAGGGCTTATGGACGGCGTGCAAGAACGCAGGGATTAGCCGGAAACAAGGTGGGAGAAGTTTGCAGCAGGAAGAGCTTCGGGCGCTGGCGAAGGACAAGCTTCTCGCCGTGCTGCCGGCGGTTTCATTTCAGGCTCTTCTGGACTACGCCGTGCCTGGCGAGATGGGGAGGGAACTCCATGGAAGAGTACGGAATTTTCTTGCGAGATGCTTCGCAGGTCGAGACAGGCAAGTTTGCAGAAGTGGCCGCCACCCTCTTCTGTGTCTCCGCTTCCGAGTTGGAAGTTTTGCGAAACAAGTTGCAAAATGGAGGTCCTTTGACTTTTTTGGCCTTGGAGGCTAATGTCAACGGTGGCGAAGCGAAAATCACGCCGGCTCTGCAAGGCTTTCGCTATGAGACTGCCACTGGAATCCAAGCGGCTGCGCTGGCCAATCAAGAGACCGCGCTCTGGGACGCCACGGCAACCTTGCTGACGCAAGAGTGGCAACCTCATAACGCTGCCAAAGACTACGCGTCTGTGCTCGGGCAGCTATCTGCCTGTGCGCTGTTGGACTGCCACGCGCAAGCGCAGCAAGAGACAGAGTATTTGCACGGTCGCGTCTTTCAGTTGAACAATGTTCACATTCCATTTCCACCGCCAGAAGACCTTTACGAAGACCGCATTTACTGGACCGCTCGTATCCGCGACTTCTCTGGCTGCTTGGACGTGGGGATTCGTCAGAAAGCAGCGTGTCACCTCGCTGGCCTCGACCCATCCGGAAAGGAAGCAGCTCCCACTGTGCCGCTGACACTTTGTCTTGGCCGTTGCTGGCCAGTGTAAAGATCTTGGCCACGGTGCGTGATGCAGATGTCGCCGCGACACAAGCTCAAGACAGCCAGTCCGGAATGAAGCGGATGCGCTTTGTTCTGGTGGAAGCAGAAGAACAAGACTTGAAGCAAGAGGCCACGCAGCCTCTTTTGTCTCTCTTGCAGGCGTTGACGCAGATTCCACCAAGCACAGATGCTTTGGTCACCGCGAGGCTGTCAGAGTTGATGACAAACAGTTTTGGAGTTTTTCAAGTGGAGCCAAAGGTTGTGGATGCACGCCTTCCCGGCTTACTTCAAACATCATTTCACGTGGAGCCAGTGGATGTGGACGCACACCAGGCCGGTTCCCTTGAGAGGGAAGGAAAACGCCGTCGTCTGAGTTGCAACAAAGGGTGTCCTCCAAGCGCACCGAACAACAAGAAGCTGCCAGCGGGCTCCGTTTGGTCACCAAAGACATCATCGATGGTTTAGCAGAGGCAGACGCTGCCGCGGCCGAAAAATTCACAGCCATAGCTTACTGCACTGTTCATAACTTGAAGGATTTCGTCTTGGACCCACCTCGGACGGGCAAAAAGTTGCAGTATGCCTTGGCCATAGCGTGCTCCAAGTCTGCGACGGAAGGGCAAGCCGAGCTCATTGTGGAACAGCTGCAGCTGCTGCGTGAAGCAGATGTTGACGTGGCCACGAAGTGCATGCGCCAACTGCTCCTGATGTCTAGCGTGACTGCTACGCGCGGACCTCCGCCTGGCACGCATGCTCCCTGGACAGAGTCGACAGCGCCCGCCTTGCAACAAGCCCTTTGCCCAGCTCTGAGTGCATACCCCCGTGGAGAGCCGTGGGCGAATGCACCTACAGCACCGGGCGTACACGCCTGCAGCGACTGAGCGAATCTTGGAACCCTTGCGGCTGCGCAGGCGGGTGCTGGAAGTGTCTCTACGGATCGCTGACGGACGGAATGCAAGCGCGCAGGAGTTAGTCAGAAGCAAGGAGCTCGACGCAGACCCGCCGTGCTTTGCTCGCGGATAACTCCACACACTATTCACGCACGACTCCATGTGTTCCTTCCTCAGATTCCTTGTCTCACTGCTTTTCCATTCCTCGTGTATGCACTCAACGTGTCATGTTCCTTGCTGTTGCACTGTATAACTCGATAGCGCCAAAGGGCTCAGAGATCTTGCGTGGTGGTGGGTTGTTGCACTACCTGGTTGTCCGCACACGTGCACTAGCTTTGCTTCGATGGCAACGCGGTACTTTGCCTAGAACTGCGGTTCGAACATACTTTCACAACTGCATCGCGCCAATTCCTCTCTGTGTCTGCATGTGTGCCTGTATGCGCGTGTCCCTGCGCGTGTCCCTGCGCGTTCCGGCACAAGCTTGCACGTGCGCTGCTGGCGGTTGCGCAGGGACAGCCGATGTCCAACCTTGTGCATAACCAATCGGTGATGCAGCGGATGCGCTTTGTTGTGGTGGAACACAATAAGAAAAGTAGTTAGCCAGAAGCAAGCACAAGCTGGTTCTTTTCGACACAGCCCCACTTCAGCTGCCATGCTTTGCTCGCGGAAAAATGCAGTCGCGTTCCTTTGCCCCCTACTCTGTAATTTACTCATCCACACACTAGTTACGCACGAAGCCGTGTGTTCCTTCCTCACATGCCTTGTCTTACCTCCATGCTGCATGCAACAACGCTCCTGTGCGTGGAAGTCGTGTCGCTTTGGCTCAGCTCCGTCCTTTTGCCGCCGACACTCTCCGTACTCATGCCTCGACGCAGCCTGACGCATCCGAGTATCGTTGACGCTGAGAACGCCGCGCTCTCGAACAACACTGCGGCTGCGCGTGAAGATGACGCAACGCGCCATGCCTGCTGGCCGCTTGGAGACACGCGGTGCCGCCAATCTGCCGGGCTTTGGACGAGCCCGCCGGAAGCACCCAAGTCGTTCGCCACAGTACAGCTCGCCCCAGCAGAAAGCGCACGTATTCGACCGCCTGCTGCTATGTACCCCGTGCTTTGCGCTCAGGCCGCGTGTCTAGGCGATGTCTGTTTGTTCTTGCGGCTCATGACGACCTGCTGTGCTGCACGTTGCCGCGTCTGGATGCAGCGCGCCCGTGCCGTACTCCAAGAAGTAGAAGCTTACGCAAATTTCATCCTGGCAACACGGCTGTGGCTGCCAGGGTTCTTGGCGCACGATGTCATTGACGTGCGTGTGTCTTGGAATGCGCCCGAGTGGATCCATGCACAAATCCGCCTGCCGACTTTCTTTGACAACTCTTTCCGCTGTGCAGACGAAGCTACCATGGAACAGTGGATCGACCAACATCCGCGCCTTCGCGGCCTGCCGCCCCTCGCAGCGCTGCACCGCATGAACTGCCTTGATAACATGGCTCCAAATGAGTTTGACGCCTTCTTGTGCGCCCTGCGATCTGGGAGCGCGCGCTTTATGTACACGCCTGCTGTGGAAGGGTCCGAGCCAGACAGCCCAGTCTTTGGGCCTGCCTTGATAACGCTTCTGTGCTGCGAGAGCTTGCCACTAACACTCTGCGTGCGCCGCGTCGGCTGTTTGCAGCAACAAGCTACCACGCCTTGACCGCAGCGCCTTTGCGTTCTACCAACAGACTGGCCTGCTGCGGCTGCGCGCAGTGCCACGCATCTATCCCAGCAGCCCTGTCCTGCGAGTCCTGCGATTCTGCCGTCTCACCGATATGTGCTGCTCATGGAAGAAAAACGATCATGCCTGCTGGCCATGCCTGTGCGCCTGTTTTCTTCTTGGTGCTGCATGTGTCTCTACTCCCACACACGTGTCCTCGTCTTTGTGAGTGTGCGCGCAAATACCGCAAAATGATGTTGCAGCTTCCTGACAACAACCGCCATTTTGCGGCGCTGCCCGCACAATACTCTGCAGCGTGTGACCGCCGCCTATCACTGTTTGGGGTCTCGCGCCGGGGTAATTTTGTGCTCCCGCTGGTGGTTTCCCGTGATGAAAAGTAGTAGCGGGGTCCGGGCGGGTGGTAATTGGGGTTTGTGGTGCTTTTTTTTGTGCTCCCGATTGTGCTTTTTTTTGCTTTTTTTTGTGCTCCCGCTGGTGGTTTCCCGTGATGAAAAGTAGTAGCGGGGTCCCTCTGGAGGGTAATTGAGGTTTTGCGGTGCTTTTTTTTGTGCTTTTTCTTGTGCTTTTTTTGTGCTTTTTCTTGTGCTTTTTCTTGTGCTAGTTTTACTCTTTCCTCTGGAAAATCCGTCCGAAAATTTGCCGAATTGGCCAGAAGTGCGGGGCCGGCCGGAGTCAGTGCCAGCTCGGCCAGCTCCTCGCTGGCGCCAGCTGGGCCAGGGACCAGCTGGCCCTGGGTGGGGGCTGGCAGCCAGCAGACTGGCCTGCAAACAGTCTAGGTCGCAAGGGCAAACGTGGCAGTGGCTCCCCTGGCCCTGAACCTGTCTTTCAGGACCTCAAACGGAAGAAGCTGAAAGAAAAGACGCTCCAACGTGTTTCTGGGCGAAGCGGCCAGCTCCGCGCTGACTGCGCCACTTCCTGCCTGCTTTGGATTTCGCTCTCTGTCAGATCAAGATGTCAGAACTTGGTGTTAGCGTTAGCGACTTGCATTCAACTTGCAGCGACGGCGGAAAAGTGGTAGTGATAGTTGCTGTCTAGGCCAATGTTTATTTGCGATATATGTTTATGCTATGTCTCTGTCTATGTTTACGACTCCTGAACCAGCTTTAAACTTTTCCTAGGTCTCCTAAATCCTAGTGCACCTACAGTCCAGTGACAACCCCAAAAGCGCAGCACTAGAAACCAGTAGGGACAGAACCGTATTTGGGCCTGGGCATGAAAAGACACCACTCTACTCTCCACTGCATCATCATATAGACCAAACAAATACGCAGCCTAAAATTGGTGGGGCATGCTTACCCAAAACCAATTTGGGCTTGCTGGTGGTCATTTTTGCTGAGGTATTATGTATAAATGGCTTTATTTAACTGTTAGTGCTCGGGGGCACCCCCCAAACCATATCGTTGTGGTTTCCCTGCAATGTGATACTGCAAGACTTGGTCTACTCCCATCTCCAGCACTATTCCAGGCTGTGGGAATAAGAAGGGCTTTCTCCCATCAAAAACAACAACACACTACCAAAAAGCCCGCAACATCCTCAAGCAAATAACGTCTGAAGATACCTAAAAACACAAAGAGGCCACAGCAATTTGGGGGGGGGCATCATTTCGGGGCCATCCGCGGAAATCAGGTATCAAAAAACCCGCTATGAAACGTTCACAATGGGTGAGTTGGCAAACCCCAGCGGCATCGCTATACTTTGCCCAGAATTCATCTGCACAATTTACAGTAATTCCAAACCTGAAGCAAGAGATCCCCAGGTGAAGGGTCGATCCATGGTGAGCTTCTTTTTAACCCCCCAACTCACCTAAAAGCATTGCGGATCCATGCATTTCCTTCTCCCCTCTCGCTGAATCGCCGCCAGAAGGCCGCCCAGCGTCCAGCTGGTGAGATCCGGCGCCGCCTGTCCGGCACAATCCATTCGTAGCGGTCAGTGTGTGAGAACGGCTTGAGAGGTTCCTTGGGGGGGAGCAATTGGCCCGAGGATTCGTGGGTGATTTGGAATTCCATTTGAGCTTCCTAAAGTCTCCACGACCCTCAAAAAATGGGTCCATGACCCCTTAATTTTGGCAATGACCCCCATTTCTTTTAAGAGTCATGGACCAATGGAGACTCCAGGTTGATATTTGCCAGGAGGCACCCGCTGAGTGAATTCGCTCTACCAAGGCCAGTCAAGGGGTGTAGGGGGAAAACCCTCACAGGGCACCCCAAGCTAAGCAGATTTAAGGGAGGATAGAAACCATGTACAGGAAATTCCACAGAGCAATTCAACCACCAAGACGGAAAATTCCCTGTAGAACTTCCTGTGGCTGGCTTCTTTAAAGGGCAGGGGCCCAAACAAAGTTTCATACAAGGCTTGCAAACTTCAAGGAGAACACTCCCAGAGAAATCAAGCCGAAAGCGCGATTTCGACGCCCAATTTTTCGCGCCCAGATTCGGGGAGCGGAATTTCGCGCCTGTGACTCGGCCCCTTACGCTTGAACTCGGCCTGACGGTTGTTCTTCCGGGCCGAAGCTGGAATTGGCGACGCTGCGCCGCTGCGCCGCTGCGGCGAAAGACGTGAATGCCAGGCTTAGGCCTT